CCAATATTCAACATTCTTAAAGAAAAGAATTTTCAATCCAGAATTTCATATCCAGCCCAACTAAGCTTCATAAGTGAAGGAGAAATAAAATCATTCCCAGACAAGCAAACACTTAGGGATTTTGTTACCACCATACCTGCCCTGCAACAGCTCCTGAAGGAAGCACTAAATACGGAAAGGAAAAACTGGTACCAGTCACTGCAAAAACACACCAAAACGCCCGGGCGCCGTGGCTCTTGCCTGTAATCCCACTTTGGGAGACCGAGGTGGGTGGATCACCTGAGGTCAGGGTTTGAGACCAGCCTGGCCAACATGGCAAAACCCCGTCTCTACTAAAAATACAAAAAATAGCCAGGTGTGGCAGTGCATACCTGCAATACCATCTACTCAGGAGGCTGAGGCAGGAGAATCGGTTGAACTCACGAGGCAGAGGTTGCAGTGAGCTGAAATCGTGCCATTGCACACCAGCCTGGGTGACAAGAGTGAAAATCCGTTTAAAAACAACAAAGCAAAAATAAACACAAAAAACACCAAAATATAAAGACCAATGACACTATGAAGAAACTACATCAACTAGTGTGCAAAATAACAAAATAGCAGCATGATGACAGAATCAAATTCACATATAACAATACTAACCTTAAATGTAAATGGGCTAAATGCCCAATTAAAAGACACAGACTGGCAAATTAGATAGAGTCAAGAGCGATTGGTGTGTTGTATTCAGGAGACCCATCTCATGTGCAAAGGCACATGTAGGCTCAAAATAAAGGGATGGAGGAAAATTTACCAAGCAAACGGAAAGCAAAAAAAAGCAGGGGTTGCAATCCTAGTCTCTGACAAAATGGACTTTAAACCAGCAGAGATCCAAAAGGACAAAAAAGGGATTACATAATGGTAAAGGGAACAATTCAACAAGAAGAGCTAATTATTCTAAATATATATGTACCCAATACAGGAGCACCCAGATTCATAAAACAAGCTCTTAGAGACCTACAAAGAGACTTAGACTCCCACACAATAATAGTAGGAGACTTTAATACCCCACTGTCAGTATTAGATAGATCAATGAGACAGAAAATTAACAAGGATATTCAGGACTTGAACTCAGCTCTGGATCAAGTGGACCTAATAGACCTAACAGAACTCTCCACCCCAAATCAACAGAATATACATTCTTCTCAGTGTCACATGGCCCTTATTCTAAAATCAACCACATAACTGGAAGTAAAACTCTCCTCATCAAATGTGAAAGAACTGAAATCATAAGCATCTCTCAGACCACAGTGTGATCAAATTAGAACTCAGGATTAAGAAACTCACCAAAACCACATAATTACATGGAAATTGAACAACCTACTCCTAGATGACTCCTGAGTAAATAATGAAATTAAGGCAGAAATCAAGAAGTTCTTTGAAACCAATGAGAACAAAGACACAACGTACCAGAATCTCTGAGACACAGCTCAGGCAGTGTTAAGAGGGAAATTTATACCACTAAATGCCCACACCAGAAAGCTAGAAAGATCTCAAATCAACACCTAACATCACAATTAAGAACTAGAGAGGCAAGAGCAAACTAATCCAAAAGCTAGCAGAAGACAAGAAATAACTAAGATCAGAGAAGAATTGAAGGAGACAGAGACAAGAAAAAACCCTCCAAAAAATTAATGAATCCAGGAGCTGTTTTTTTTTTGAAAAAAATTAACAAAATAGATAGACCACTAGCTAGATTAATAAAGAAGAAAAGAGAGTAGAATCAAATAGACACAATAAAAAGTGATAAAGGGGATATAACCACTGACCTCACAGAAATACAAACTACCACCAGGTAACACTATAAACACCCCTACACAAATAAACTAGAAAATCTAGAAGAAATGAATAAATTCCTGGACACATACACCCTCCCAAGACCAAATCAGGAAGAAGTCAAATCCCTGAATAGACCAATAACAAGTTCTGAAATTGAGGCAGTAATTAATAGCTTACCAACAACAAAAAAAAAGCCCAGGTCCAGATGGAGTCACAGCTGAATTCTACCAGAAATGCAAAGAGGAGCTGGTACCACTGCTTCTGAAACTATTTCAAACAATGGAAAAGGAGAGACTCCTCCCTAACTCATTTTATGAAGCCAGCATCATCCTGATACCACAACCGGGAAGAGACACAACAAAAAAAGAAAGCTTCAGACCAATATTCCTGATTAACATAGATGCAAAAATCCTCAGTAAAATACTGGCAAAACAAATCCAGCAGCAGATCAAAAAACTTATCCACCACTATCAAGTCAGCTTCATCCCTGGGATGCAAGGCTGGTTCAACTTATGCAAATCAATAAATGTAATCCATCACATAAACAGAATCAAAGACAAAAGCCACGTGATTATCTCAATAGATGCACAAAAAGCCTTTGATAAAATTCAACATCCCTTCATGTTAAAAACTCTTAATAAACTAGGTATTGATGGAACATATCTCAAAATAGTAAGAGCTATTTATGACAAACCCACAGTCAATATCACATTGAATGGGCAAAAGCTGGAAGCATTCCCTCTGAAAACGGGTACAAGACAAGGATGCCCTCTCTTACCATTCCTATTCAACATAGTATTGGAAGTTCTGGCCAGGGCAATCAGGTGAGAGAGGAAAATAAAGTGTGTTCAAATAGGAAGAGAGGAAGTCAAATTGTCTCTGCTTGCAGACGACATGATTTTATATTTAGAAAACCCCATCATCTTGGCCCAAAAACTCCTTAAACTGATAAGCAAGTTCAGCAAAGTCTCAGGATACAAAATCAATGTGCAAAAGTCACAGGCATTCTTTTACACCAACAATAGACAAGCAGAGAGCCAAATCATGAATGAACTCCCATTCACAATCACTACAGAGAGAATAAAATACTTAGGAATATAGCTAACAGGGGATGTGAAGGACCTCTTCAAGGAGAACTACAAACCACTGCTTAATGAAATAAGAGAAGACACAAACAAACGGAAAAACATTCCATTCTTTTTGATAGGAAGAATCAATATTGTGAAAATGGCCATACTGCCCAGAGTAATTTATAGATTCAATGCTATACCCATCAAACTACCATTGACATTCTTCACAGAATTAGAAAAAACTATTTTAAGTTTCACATGGAATCAAAGAAGACCCCATATAGCCAAGACAATCATAAACAAAAAGAACAAAGCTGGAGGCATCACTCCGCCTGACTTCAAACTATACTACAAGGCTACAGTAACCAAAATAGCATGGCACTGGCACCAAAACAGATATATAGACCAATGGAGCAGAATAGAGAACTCATAAATAACACCACACATCTAAAACCATCTGATCTTGGACAAACCTGACAAACACAATGGGGAAAGGATTCCCTATTTAATAAATGGTGCTGGGAAAACTGGCTACCCATATGCAGAAAACTAAAACTGGACCCCTTTCTTACACATTATACAAAAATTAACTCAAGATGGATTAGACTTAAATGTAAAACCCCAAACCATAAAAACCCTAGAAGAAAACCGAGGCAATACCATTCAGGACATAGGCATGGGCAAAGACTTCATGACAAAAATGCCAAAAGCAATTGCAGCAAAAGCCAAAATTGACAAATGGGATCTAATTAAACGAAAGAACTTCTGCACAGCAAAAGAAACTAGCGTCAGAGTGAACAGGCAACCTACAGAATGGGAGAAAATTTTTGCAATCTATCCATCTGACAAAGGTCTAATATCCAGAATTTACAAGGAACTTAAACAAATATACAAGAAAAAAACAACCCCACCAAAAAGTGGGCAAAGGATATGAACAGACACTTCTCAAAAGAAGACATTTACACAGCCAACAAACATATGAAAAAAAGCTCAACATCACTGATCATCAGAGAAATGCAAATGAAAACCACAATGAGATACCATTTCATGCCAATCAGAATGGTGATTATTAAAAAGTCAGGAAACAATAGATGCTGGCGAGGCTGTGGAGAAATAGGAACGCTTTTACACTGTTGGTGGGAATGTAAATTAGTTCAACCATTGTGGAAGATAGTGTGGTGATTCCTCAAGGATCTAGAACCTGGAATATCATTTGACCCAGCAATCCCATTACTGGGTATATACCCAAAAGAATATAAATCATTCTACTATAAAGACACATGCACATGTATATTTATTGCAGCACTGTTTACAATAGCAAAGACACGGAACCAACCCAAATGCCCATCAATGACAGATTAGATAAGGAAAATGTGGTACATATACACCATGGAATACTATGCTGCCATAAAAGGGAATGAGATCATGTCCTTTGCAGGGATATGGATGAAGCTGGAACCCATCATCCTCAGCAAACTAACACAGGAACAGAAAACCAAGCACCTCATGTTCTCACTCATAATGGGGAGTTGAACATTGAGAACAGATGGACACAGAGAAGGGAACAACACACACCAGGGCCTGTTAGGGGGTAGGGGTGTGAGGAGGGAACTTAGAGGACGGGTCCATAGGTGTGGCAACCACCATAGCACACGTATACCTATGTAACAAACCTGCACTTTCTGCACATGAATCTCTGTAAGTGTGTGTGTTTGTGTGGTTTTTTAGAGAAGAAGTTAAAAAAAAAAACGAAAACAAAAAACCAAAAACAAGCCCTCATAGACCTCCAGGGCTTGACTGCAGAGTAAATCATCACCATCATCATCACCATCACCATCATCATCACTATCATCACGACTACGTTAGTGCTTACTGCATGCCAGGTACTATTCTGACCACTTCATATGTGTTAACTCATTTAATCCTCATAACCACCCTGTGAGGTAGCTACTGGTGTATCCCCACTTTACAAATGAGGTAACAGGGGCACAAAGATGATATGTAGCGTGTTCAAGATCACACAGAGAAAAAGTCCATCCTTTTCGGCTTGTTTATAGAGCCCTTCCATGAATGTCCTCTGCCTCCTCTCTGCTCCAATCACATGAGCCTTTCTCCTGTTTCTCAACACTTCATCCTCTTTCCCATTTCCCTGCCTTTGTGCCTGCTGTTCCCTCTACTTGGAATGTTGTTAACCCTTCGTTTACTTGGTTAACTCATACCCAACTGTCCAGACTCCATTCCCAAGCCATTATCTCTGGGAGGACTAAAAATTCTCCGGGCAGAGTTGGTCACTTCCAGCTCTGTGGTGACACCTGCCCTGTCACAGGACAGTCTCTGCTCTACTGCACAACAGATTCTGCTTATATATCTGTGTCCTCTACAGGGTGATGAGCTCCCTAAAATCAGAAAGCATCTCTCCTTTATTTCTGTTTCCTCGCATTTATCAGGGGCCTGCTATACAGTAGGTTATCAAAAAATGTTTGTTGAAGGAGCCAATTAACCAGACACTCCATGAGGTCAGGGACCACACCTTTCTTCTGTGCTGCGGACCCAACCTCTAGCACAAACACATAGGAAGCTCTCAATTGATATTTGAATGGAAAAATTAACTGGATCATCATGGTTTTGTGAAATTCAACCAAGCAGAATTTCCTATTTTTCATTTCCTCATTTGTAGGCAGTGGTTTCAGCAGCAGCAGCTTGGGATCTCTTAATATTTAATAATTTTTTCATTCACAGTTAAGGCATGAGTGTTCTTGGTTTCTCTTTGACCTCATTTTGAAAATCTGAAAATTAAGTATCTTGAGCATAGATTAATAATAATACATTCCTATTGAATTTTAGGGCACTCTCTCTGTTTGTAATTTAATATATTCTTATTTTTAGATTAAAGACATATTTAGTTATCACCCATATTCATTAAGAATGAAAAATAGAGTTACATGCCATTTTATAAGTATCGATATGTTCAGATGAGTGAGATCAAATATTTTGTAAGTAAAAATTACTTTTCACTGATTGAGACCAAAGAGGAGAAGCTGGATAAGGAGAGTGTCCTGTGCCATGGCTGCCTTGGCCTGGAACATTTACCTGCTGGCCGGGCTTGATGGGTGACAGCGTGATGCCCTGGGTGTTGATCACGGGCAGGATCTGGTTCCCAATGACTGTGGCGATGATCTGGCCCTGGGCGTTTGTTAGGAGCTGGGGGGTGATTGGCTGCACTTGCAAGCCCTGAGTGCCGCTCGCTGCTTGGCTCGATGGCCCTGGATTAGGCATCAGTGGGATGGTCCCGATAATCTGCAAGAGACAGGCCCAAAGGTGAAGAGCTGGCTCCGTGAAGGGTCTGCGCATGCAACTGAAGACCATGCAGTGCCTGGTCTCTGTAAGATGCTCTCTGGGAGCTGACTCAGAATCTGCAAGCAGCTCTGGAGGGGGGTGCGGTGGAAGAAAGTGGCAGGGGCAGGCATCTAAAGAAGAGATAAATACACATGAACTGAGTTCATGGGATGGAAGGGAGAAACATCTTATATAAAAATAAAATCAAGCATCTGTTAAGATATAAACATGCAGTTTTTGCCAGGGCAGGTCTGACATCTGTTTTTTCTCAGAACCAGAGGGAGGATGGGCTTCTCACAGCACCCAAGGCCCTCTTCCACCTGGGAAGCTGCATCCCACCGCCCCCCAAACCTAGGTGGCTCCATACTCCCTGAACTAAAGGGGATCCTTTGACATTCTTTCCTCTGCCTCCTTCCCTCCACCGACATTCAGCTCCTCTCCCAAGGCTAGGGGAGGGGCTCCCTGATACTCGCAGCAGGACTGGGGCCTCACACACCCTGGTGTTTACAGTGGTGGAGAGCCTGGGCGCGCAGAGTGACAGGATTCCATTCCCAGCTGTGCCACTCACTGGCTGTGGCACGTTTGTCAAGGGACCTAAGCTTTCTGAAGGCTCGAGAGAACTGAGATTATAAACAAGTTTTTGAAACTCTTAAAATAGAGGTGAAATGACTACTGAGGACTGAAATCAGAAAGAAAGTGCCTTTGAAATGATGTGTTGTAAAGCCAGGGCCTAAAGGTGAGGGGCTTGGGGCTTCTGTGGCAGGTGGCAGGGGAGGCTCTTCTCTGCATCCAGTGGCTTCCGGCTTCAGCGAGGGACCGTGGGGACAGACTACAGGAGGGGCCTGACCAGATCTAATTAATTACTGTGCCAAGGAGAAAGGCACCATGCATAGAAACAGCAAATGGACAGACTGGGTGTCCATAGAATCTGGAAATAGAGGCCATATTGTTAGGGACACACTGTTCATGACAGATGTAATCTGTAAAAACCTAAAACATGATCTCTAAACTGTGGTGGCATCTCCTGAGAAGCGACGTGGTACTGGCCGTGTGGATGCTTTTCTGCCTCCACACACGGTAGGATGGTTATGCAGCTCTGCTTTGCCGGTCGCCTTCAAGGGCTCTGGCTCCCAGAGGTGAAATCTGGGGGCCACCAGGACACAGTAATAAGATCTCAGGAAGTGTTTTCACACATATGATTTCTCTGCATTCTGTATTCTTACAACACCTCTGTGAAGTAATATTTGTCATGCCTCTGCTTACTAGACAAGACACAGGGGCACAGGGAGGCCGAGCAACTCAATTGAGTCTCTTCACAGAAGCATTTGTAAGTGACAGTCTGGGGCTACAGTCCAGGTCTGGTTGACCCCAAGCACTTGCTTTTCCATCCTTCCCCCAGCTCCCACAACATGGAGAAGCTTGGAGGGTGCCAGCTCTTAGAAAATGTACTGTGTATCTTGTTTGCAATTTCCCACTAGATGAAAGGCTGCTGGTGGGCTGGGTTTGTAAATGATACTGCTTTCTACCCGCACAATACCCCGAGCAGTGCTTTGAACATAGTTTCTCAGTAAATGTTTTTTGGCTGAATGGTTTCTAGATTCAGCTGTCACTGGGACTCCAGATGCAGCTGGAACCACAGGAGAACTGCAAGACCATGCCATTCAGTGACAGATCGTGCTGGAGAAAGCCTCCTCATCCCTAGGCCATTGCTTCCACCACAAAAGCCCCCGTGGGATGACACTAATGGAGGACCTGTGCGGATATCAAGTATCAATGGCATTTGTCAATGGAGGCTGATAAAGGTCAAGTAATTACTGCGAGAGTGGTCAGCTCTCCCCTAGGGAGTGTGGCAGGGCTGCAGTCTCACTGAGCAAGCCCACAATGCCTGGCCCGCAGCATCAGCAATGAGCACGTCCCATCAGTGCGGGCAAGGTCAGGAGGCGTCCACATCAATAGATCACAGCGCGTAAGTACTTTATTGATGAGTGGTCTTGCATTAAACAGCCAGGATTCAAAGGCCGGCTCCTGTGACCCCACAGGCAAAGTAAGAGAGGCCCAGGAACAGGCCTCCCATCTTCAGCCTATGTTGGATAACTCCCCTTTCCACACATGCACAATAAAAACTCAGCCACTGACCCACCCACTCTGGCCTTCCCCAGTGTCTTAGGCCTTTGCAGCCTCATTTTATCCTACCGGCCTGAGCTGAAAGTCTGTGGAAGCTGGATGCATCTACGGGGCAGGGCTGTGGGTCCTGTTTGGGGCAGGGTGTCAGTGCGATTAAGAGCCAGTAGGAGCAAGTATCCTGAGAGAATGGTTCAGGGTGAGCACAGCACATGACAGTTACAGAACACACTGTGATGAAGAGAGAGGCGTTCTGTCCCAGGAAGATTGACACCAGCCTGTGCTTGCCTTTGCGGTAATGAAATACTCTGCCTTTTTCCCGGGTGGAAAGAAGAAGAAAGGCAAATGCAAACAAGTCATCAGCCTCTTCCTTAAGCACAACGTCACTCTCAGCTGTGTGCCACCACATTACTAAAACATGGTGCTGCCTATGTTCCTACCCACCCTGCCCTGGCCTGAGCATCACTTATCAAGGATAGGATAACAGTAGTGTCAGAGCCAGAGGAATCTGTAATGACCTGACTATTGCTGCCTTTAACAAAGAGAGTCTGCCTTTGAGTTGGGGGTGGAGGGTCAGGAGCAGTTCTAAAGTCAGGAAGCCTTTGGTGACACTATGCATTCTTATTTTTGTTCCTCTTTGAGGGGCATTGGGGTCACCATCTCAACATGTCAAAAACTTGGTAGTGCACTATGGGGAATTTTGTCATATTCCCGAATGTATCACAATATGTTGGTTTCAATTGGCTCCCATTAATTGAAGGGTAGAGATGTGGTCACACACTGTGTCATCTAAATATTCTCTGATGTGCCTGTTTTGCTTACGCTGGCTCTGATTCCTCTTAGCACCGCCACAGACCTAATCAGAACTCCTCCATGGACTTTGACTTCACAGAGGTTGCAAGAAGGGAACCGGGGGAGCTGAGATGGCAAAGATCTGAGACTTTCTGTACTCATGAGAAGTTGTCCATTTCACCTGTGGAAATCATATTTTAAATTAAAGGCCTTCTGATACTCAAGGAAAGTATTTGCATCTACATATGTTTCAACGAAATCAGGAAATGAAAACGGAGGTTTGATAAGGCTGTAGGGGAATCTCTTATTTGAGAGTAAAGGTAGAAAGAGGATGCTTTTGGGACACTTGCAGTCCTAAAACTAGCTTTTGGAGTTCGACTTCCCAGCTCCCAGAAGCTAAGATTTACTGCTAGGAGAAGTCCTGATGGAAGGATTTGCCACTGAGCACACGGACAACTAGGCTGTGACTCCTGTTCAAGCCACTCAATGTACAAGACAGATTTATGTTCTCCTGAAATGCCAAGGATTCCTGCAGAGCAGCCTAATACCTGTAGATCCTTCTCTCTATAAACACTGTGTCAAGTGCCGTGAAGGATGCCAAAAAGATGCAACTGAGGCAGGGGAGGGGTAAACAAGACAGGTACTTTGAATGCAGAGATTCCAACAATCCAAGGGTGGAAATGATGAGCACCAAATGAGTAGCAAGTACTCTCTGAGAAAAATCTCTATACCTACATGGTGGGTATGCAAAACACTATTGGAAATGAATGAGTTACTTCCGAGGAAGAAGGGTGGGTATGGTTCAAGAGGCCTTCACAGAAGACAGGGGGGCCAAGCAGGGTCTGGAGGTTGGGTACAATTTGGGGAAGGCAGAGAAACCATTCCAAACAAGACATCAGCCTAAAGGTGAGAAACATGGGGGATGGGGAGTTGGATGCAAGAAAAGATTGAGACAGGTTAGCCTGGGAGGGTCAAATTCCATCCAGCCCAGGGTTTCTGATGAGTGAGTTTTGATGGGAGTGTAGTGGAGTGCTGAAATGGAGCTATTCCGTGCCAATGTCACTGTCTGGACAGAATGGACTCAAGTGGTGAGGGACTACAGATCTGGAAATCAGTTGTAGACCTAGGATGCTGCTGTCGTGTCCAAGCGTGAAGCAAAATGCCTCAATGACTCCTTGACAGAGGATTTGCTTGATTCACTAACTTCTGCTTCAATTCAAAAAGTATGGCCTACTCTCTGCCTAGGTTGCAACATTAGAAAATTTTCAGTTAAGTTATTGCCCTGTGAATCTCATAGCAAATAGCTGAGGCATTGTTTGCAATGATCCTCTATGTCTTTACCCTGATTCTCCACCAGTGATGATTCATCCCTGAAAAATGCTTTAACCAGGCCAAAGCCCATACCAGTTTTATAATAATAATTTGTGACCTAAAAGAGTCTGGCTTCTCTGAAACAGGACTTACTTGGTTGTTGCTGTGAATGTCCATCTATCTCTTTCCTTAAATGAATCAAGAGCATAAATCACAAAAGAGGAATAAAGGTCATATAGTAAGAGCAACTAAAAAAATCATTCAAATAGTAGTGTTTGCTAGCACACATATTTAAAAGATCCCCATTTCCCTAAGAACTTGAGTGGCTTACGTCCAAATGTGACTATCACTAATTCAGCAGCTATTACAACTTAAGCCATAATGAAGATTAGCTTGCAGTTGTAGCCAACCCCAGCAATTCAGGGTTCTGAAGCCCCTTTTGAGTCATGAGGTTATCATTACACTGCCCTCATGTGCCTCAGTCTAGTTGAGGCAGTCAATAGAGATGAATCATGACTGATGGTGGGTAAAGTGTCCTGAATGTATTCACTGCTGACGGGTGCATGTCATCAGCAGCAGTCTGAGAGTTCTGTCACAGAAGCCCAGGGCATTCAGATAAGTCATCTGATAGGCCACATGTTGTTATAGCCAATGATATGCTGTTAAACTCTGTGATGGAGAATGTGATTACAGATGTCAAATTGACAAGTAATTTTTTGCCCATATATGTAAGAAAA